CATGTTGCATGTTGCATGTTGCATGTCGTTTGCTAAGTTTATTATATTCTAGACATTGTCAGCATGAGAAAATCAATTGCGAAAATGCGCAGACAAAAATTGGTAACATCCCATATCGTCGTGTACTTTCGCTGATTGGATTTACACCACCATTAGCGTATTTCGAGCCTGGTGTGCAACATGCAACATGCTATAAAACCTTTACCGCCTATTTTGAAATAGCTGTATCAACCTAGTTCAATTTATTTAGTGTTATAGCTACCGGGACTGGTGGAATTTTCATTAGTAAATAAGTTTGAATATTAATGTTATTAATTGTCGCGGAGTTACTGACTTTTTCATTCCGTAGGCCTATTCATCTCTTGCTTACGCCCCGTCCACACGTATCCGAAAATTTTTGTATCCGCAAATTTTTTTTGCGGATACGAAAATGTTCGCGCCCACACGCAGCGTATTCGAATCGTTTTCGAATCGTTTTCACTGTCCACACGTATCCGGAAATTTCATGATCCGCCCTGATACAAGCTAGTTCCTAGTCCCTTTGACGGATAGTTTTTCTTATTGAGCATGCTTACGTGTGTTTACGTCATCGTATTCGAAAATTTGCGGATACGACCGTCCACATGTATCTAGTACTCGGAGCGTATTCGAAAATTTCCACTCTGGAGACCGTTTTCGAAAATTTCCGGATACGGATACAAAAATTTCTGGACACGTGTGGACGCAACCCGTATCCGCAAAAAAAATTTGGGGATACAAACATTTCCGGATACGTGTGRACGGGGCCTTAGTCTACACTTAGCTGACAACGTCTAACAAGTCTTTGGCATTTACTCTTATAAAAACATAAGTAGGGTTTAAGGAAGTTTAAAAGAGAACATAAATTCCACCGGCTATAGACTTGCTCGTACACTTACAGATTTGATGACCATCCAGCTTCAGTAGAAGACAGCTTACTGATGAACGATTAATGCATTTTACGCCAAGTCTAATGATCAGGCCATCAAGGCGAGGTTCCAATCTGCGAAAGGACTATAAGATAGATATATAGATATGATTGCGGCAAAAGGACATGCTTTGATTAAGTTATGTAGCACATACCAGGCCGAGTCGTAACGAGGGATATTTTTTCGTGATTTCTATGAAGTTTTACAAAAAAGTTTGTTAGTGCTGGTCCCAAATGCTTTAGCACACCATTCCTGATATGAAATAATGACTTTTTAATCTGAGAAAATAATTCCTTGTTTCCTGAATTCAGTCGTATACGATCCCTATCCCCCTTCAGTGGCGTGATCCCTGCTTCAGAGTAGGAGATCCCGATCTCGACTCCCTCTTCACGACATACAGTAAAACAAAAAAGATTAAAACAGAAAGAAAAGAAGGAAACGGCACACAAACAGTTCTATGGGATTAAATGATCCATTGTTACCTAGATAACTATAATCATCCGATTAGTTTTAATTTTAGTTATTCTGGAAACAAGACTGGAATTAGGATGCTTATTTTTATTGCTTACCTTAGGTATAAGTTCGACACCATACTGTGTATGGTTGAAACGGCTGCCTTTAATAGACTTCCATCTTCCTTCGCAGTCTAGGTAACTCGTATTATCAGCAAGTAATCTCTCTAAAACACATGGAGAATTGCTCGGCACGTACAGTGAAACTAGTTTCTCGGTAGAATTGGAAGATGTTCTCGACAATGTACTTATTGGGTCGTAAAGCTCTTGTGTTAATCGGAGGCACCCTAAAAAATCAAATTATGAAACGAACCACCGGTAACAATATAAGAACATGCGTAATAGGTAAATTACGAGCCTTATATGAAACGACTGAAGAAGAGGGTCAATGGGCCTTTCACAACTTCAAGTCGCATAAAATGAGCCAGCTCAACTAGAAACCGTGGACAAGTGTTTCAATAAATAACAATAACAATAAATATAGACAAGGCGTAAAAACTAGCCCTAGCATTACTCCTTCTCTTATTTATCACTTATATCTTTGTTTGACTTGAAGGTGCTGACGTTTGCTGCACATGTGATAAACATATCGCACCAGTAGAGGTTCATAACAGGAATATCAGACATGCAACTGGTACTACAAAYTTTTTAAAGATATGACTCTAAAGCTTTTGCTCTTTAATACAACGTATGTAGAAAATAAGGAGTTTATAAACTCAAGCCATCACAGTCAGCAAAAGCGAAGCCGTCAAAGGAAAGGCCAGCGTCTGGACTAAAGCTATTAAGGCACAGCTTTGTAGTGTAACACAGAATGACCACCTTACCTGCTTGCTTTCGAAGCAAAGAGTTGTTCACACATTGCCATTCTCCATCATTAAACAGAAAAGTACTTTTGTATATGACATTTGATTTATTATTTCCTTCGTTGGGAGCTTTCATGTCACAAGTGCACTGGCAATCTCCTATCYTTCTTCCACCCATCTGATAACATTCTGTAGCACCTTTTCCCTTACCACACAGAGATGGTGGAATTTGAAAGACATCTGAAAAATCATCGCTTTGTGTAGAAGGTTGACGAGTGACATTAAAATATTCTTGCGCGTTACTGCTAAAGACAAATACAAGCAATATCATCGACCTACACATTTTTGTCAATAATTTCCTTCAGTATCTTATTACATGTATGATAAATCCTGTCAACATCTGGTTTTCCTTGTGTAGCGAATAACTCGGTGACGTAGTTTCGTTACATCACATGACTTTCAGTTTCCATGTTCTCCGGCAATACCATACTGAAATATTTCCGCATGGAAATATAAATATAAATATAAATAATAAATAATATAAATTTGGCGTTGCACACGCGTTCCTCCAGCAATCGAGAAATATAATTTGATAGCCATTTGTAATTTCTGAGAAACGAATATAAATTAACGACATGGTCACCTGCAAGGGGTTCTCAATAAAATTTTCACTGCTGGTCACAATTCTAATCAGGTGATTTAGCCTCTCTCCCCTCAGCCAGAACGATTTAGTAAATAAGCGAACAGTTTGTTCAAAGCTTTTACTCGAAAATAAAGGAAAAATATTTTCTTTATTTAGATAGCAAGTCCAAGTTATCAATCCAATGCATGTGAAACGCTTTGATTATACTTCCCATTAAAAATATAAAAGTCATCCATGGAAAGATTCACCAAATATTTTTTTAGAAAGGGTATTTTTCGTTGTTGTTGGTGGAAATGTTTCGTTTTAGCAAAAGATAATAGAAAATACTTCGCGGAAATCAGTTTCGCTTTGAAAAACAATGCTCACATTCCAAATCACCTGGGAGTAGAAAATAAACTGAAACTAAGTTGGATTTGGTCTACATGAGTCAACCACAAATCTAAAACCTCATTATTGGTTAATTGCTTTCAATTATGTTAATTAGTTTGCTTGTTATCCTCTGACTGAGCTACAACCTAATGTCACAAACCAACAGCAGCAAATACTGAAACTTTGAATAAGATAAACAACACCAACAATATTTTATTGCAATATAAGAGAACTGAACGGATAGTTAATAATAAAAAAATAATTTTAAATTTTAATGTCTAGGATAGGAAGTTAGTTATTTAGAATTAATCATGCAACTATACGGTGCTTCAGCAACACTAATGTCACACCAAAGAATGGCCTTTGCAAATTAATCCATGACATTTTTCTGTTTTATTTATGAATCGTTTATTAATTTAATATTTACTTGTTAATATAGTTATAAATATTTTGCATCAATCAATCGGAAATTCATAGCTTAGGCTCATGTCAAACGTCAAACGTCATATGAGCCGAACCTAATTACATCAAAGACGACCGCCTTGTTATCCATTGTTTCAATTAGATTTTATTCRTGTGAAGTTCGAMGTTTGACCTGAGCCTTAGTCTCCGAAGCTTTTGGCTAATGAACGGAAGTGGTTAAAACGACGCCAGAAGATGTTGGACTCAAAATGAAAAGATTTCCTGATAGGAGAGTAAGGCCCCGTCCACACGTATCCGGAAATTTTTGTATCCGCAAATTATTTTTTGCGGATACGAAAATGTTTCCGTCCACACGCAACGTAATCGAATCGTTTCCACCGTCCACTCGTATCCGTTTTCGTAAAATTTGCGGATACGGACACAAAAATTTACGGACACGTGTGGACGCAACCCGTATCTGCAAAAAAATAAAAATAAAAATAAAAATAAAAATTGCAGATACAAAAATTTGTGTGGCAGGGCCTAAGTGCACCAAGATTTCTGCAAAATTTCAAGGGCAATTTCACTAATTTACAAAATATGTTTCTACTCCATTTCYGGAAATAAGTAATTACAGTCTGAATGCATGAGTCCTGCAGAACGTTGACTAAAGATTAAGGATTAGCGGCTAGTACTCCTAATATTATTGATAATTACAAGTGATTACGGATAATTTGCTTTCACGCAGAATAAAAAATAGTTTTATCAAATATTTCATAAGAAAGCCTTCATAAACTGGAGTGTGCAGACCAAATGCCCGCGGCGAAACCTTATTCATACGCGTCCCTCGGAAAAAGCGTGCACCGAAGCACCTTCAGAAAATGGTCCCTCGAGAACTCGATATTCAGGAAGTTCTTGAAACTCATTATCTTCAACCGCCGCGTGTCGTTYCTCAARTACAAATGGCTTATAAAACGGAACYGATTGGGTTTCATTCTTGCTATTTTCAGTCTTTGGATACTTTGGTCTTTTAAGGGCGTCACAGATAGGAACATCTGAACTAGCTTGCGGTTTGGTTCCTGTCTTATAAGGTACTGCATACTCTCTGTCCTCGATGTTGTAAAGACGCTGGGACACAGCACGTGGAATTTCTAAAGCATAAAGCATAAATAGCATTACAAATATATATTTGTACTAATCTTATGGTTCTTGTGACGCCATGTTRGCCGACTGACAAAAGATTTGGTCTTGGTATACACCAAGTTGAAAAGAAAGAACGTCATCGGGTCGAAAAGGTTAATTCATWAAAGCGAAGACCGTAGGGTGTTCTGGGTAAACAGTTGATAACAGGCTGATATTATCCTTATTTCAGTTTTGCAGCTGTCGAACATTGATTCAAGTTACTGAACTAAATGTTTTGTCATTCTTTATGTCCGTGTATTTAGGAGGACCAGGATATTGACTACACTGATTGACCACACGATATAGGCTTCATGAATCCAATTGAACTATTTCAAAACTATTCAAAACTATTTCAATTTGGTATATATCAAACAACATTGTCTTTTATTCACTCATAGGGAAAGTGATGAACACTAGCTATACAACTAAGGACTCACCTCTATTAAGATTTGTTGCAAAGGAATCATGCTCCTTTTCATTTTGTGACCGCTCACCAGCGACAACGAATCTCAAAGACACATCAACGCCAAGTCCGTAGCAATCATTTTCTTTACCAAATTAATGGGGAAAAGGTTAAAATCCATTGTTTTTTGTTCATTAAGTTTTGCACTCAAAAATACGCATTGGATTGCTTACCGACAAAGTTTGGTCTCTTAGGTACATGGTATCTGGAATTTAATTATTTCAAGACGTTAGACTGCAGCTGTAGGAGCTGTAGGAGCTGTAGGAGCTGTAGGACCTAGGCGGTTCTATAGAATCGCCACTTCAGTAAACGGGAATTCTCATGAACGTTTTACAAAGAATACTAAAAAAGAGATAAACCACCTACAACGTACGTAAAAGGACACAATGAAATAGGAATTTTAATCCTCAAATGTCACCTTTTGCTTCGTCTCCTTATCACAACTACGACAGCAATCACGATTATTACGAATCCAATGACACCAGCAATTGCGCCTGCRATCATAGTACTGTTGTCGTCATGGCTACCAGTTCTCTCACCAGTTTTATTAAACTGATCTGTCATCTGAGAAATGATTTGAGAAAAAGTAATATATTTTTATCACGATTCTTATCYTATTATGATATCAAATAGAGAATATGACATATTYATRAAGGCAGGGGCGGATCCAGGGRTGKTAAAAGGGGTGACTATTCACCCCCCTTTTGCTMAAATTTYTCAGTATATCGTTAGCAACAGTTAGCCCTTCTTTTCCTCGAATTCATGGCAAAACCTTTGTTGTAATATTCAGTAAAAGATCTGGATCCGCCCGCCCCTGATAGGGTGCTGTAGAAGAGGTTGTAGTTACTTGGATGCTCTTGTTGGTGGTTGTCCAAATACTGGATGATGGAGAGGTTGGTTTTATAACATGACCTATAACATTTAAAGACTGTAAGAAATGGGAATAGAAAACCAAATTTACTATGAACATTTCGTGCTTAATTTCAAAGGTGTTGAAAAATAATCACCGTCGTTCACCCACACAGGAAGCCCAGTTTAGATAATGTGATAGACATAAATAAATCAAAAACACTTGTTTTTTACTTGAGTTGCAAAAGTAAAAAAAAACTTTACCTTATGTGATTACATTTGTTTTTTTTATGGTACCTACATTTAAGCTGTCCTTTCACTTTGAATACCACACAGTGCATTTTCTTGGGCTGCGTACACCATATCTCAAGTCTAATGACTCTGCCGTTGATTGTTGGAGTAGGCGGTTCAGATATCGAATACTGAAGTTAAAAAATAATTTTATTTTTAAATGTAAAAAACTTGATATTCTTTGTAGACATGGGGAATTGCACTTCTCCAATGAGGAACCTTTTTACATCCTCATTTTGTCCACCAATCAGAAGACTCCATAGTTTCATGTAGCAGAACAAGAATCAAGATGGCGGCTGAGTCAAGAACTAGCAGGAAGTTGGGATAAACAAATACCCAAACGTAAGTAGTTAACTCTTTGTCAAAAAATTCATTTTTCGTTGTTTACTAATATTTAAGGCAAGCAAAAAAATGCCACAATATTCCATAATGCCTGACAAACTTAATGTTTATCGCCGATTGCTCATGTATGTTGAATGATTCAGACGAAAATTTCAAAAGGTAAAAACCAGTTACTAAAACTTTAATATCTATGCTTAAAGTTATGCTTTTGAAGCAGAATTTTTTACTATATTTTTACTGGGTTTACTATGCCTAATTTTTTTACCAGGGATTTTGTTGTCATGATATAACAGTTCTGAAAATTTATTRCAAACATTTGAGTATTCTTCGTTTGCAATAGACGTCATAGCCGCCATGTTGGAAGAATTTGACAAAAGATTTTTCAATCAGAATTCTTTTGTTACATCCTCCAACATGGCGGACATCCCTTTTGTTATTGTGCTCTCTTGGGATTGATTGCAAACCAAGAATAATGAGTATTGACTTGTAATTCAAGAAATGTTAACTCCATTACTTTTTAATAGTGTAGAAAAAAAGTAAATTTTGTATAAAAATAAAATAGGGAGATGTAAAGTTGTTATGTCATATTAAAAATATATTGAGTTTCCAACTGCATGAGAACAGATTCGTTGCACACGGTAAAGACGCAGTAATAGTTAATAATATAGGGTGCAAACAATATAACCGTAAAACTTTAGTAATACTAAGATAGCACAATTTCATGCAAATTCCATTGTTTTTTATTGTTTAATTACACTATTTTGTACTATTTAGTAATAAGTGTTTCACGGATTAATTGTTTGCACTCTACCTACGAATCTGATTATTTTATATACAATGACTGAAGCTATTTTTATTTCATATCTTTCCTTTTTGAATGAACAATTCATCTTTCAGAACCCAAAACTGGAATTTTGTTTTTAATCAAAAAAATCTACAGTTTCTCAAAGTGTCTTTAATGATTGTAACTTTTATAATAATTAAAATATACACAGCAMAGGGTCTAAAACTTACATAAAAGTACTTGTGCTCATCAATGTAGAACCTGCTTTTGATAAGAGTGGTATTAAGCTGATGCCATTTTCCATCACATTCCAAATATTTTCCTCCAATAATGCCACACTGGGAAGTCAGGCCTGGTATATTGTGGCCGACTGTTGGTTGAACCATAGGTAGTGTCATGAGCGGTATGGTGGCTTGTCTTTCATTCATAATGGTTTGGCAACCTGAAGTCAAATCTAGTTTAGTTGGGCCTTTATGTAATGATTATGACATGAGTGGCTGTGTTGTATGGATTATACGATCAGTAGCCAGAGACAATCGTATGGCCAATATTACATGGACGCAAATCTTTTAAACAATTTGTGAAACTCATGAACAATTTATAAATCCTTTGGGACATTTTGAATTACATGAAATGTCATAAAGTTTGTTTTGGGATTGCATGATATTCATGTGACCTGATTTCTTAAATTGGACTGGCTTGAATCCTCATTAATTATGCATGAATTTTACAAGGTTAGAAATTTTTCTAATTGACATTTTATTTTAAAGGCCAAAGCTTTGTTTTACCCTTTCAGATTATGTACCGTTTCCTTGAGTACTTTCCTTGAGTAATTAATTTTACCAATGATGAATTTTAGGAAGACAAATTTCTTAACTTACTTATGCACTGGCATAGGGCATGTGTCCCCTAACCCCCAAAAAAGTTTGCTTTTGGCACCAAAATTTAATTGATCTATGGGGGATTCCTGTGGATTGCTGGGAAAAGGGTAAATTGCCCCTATAATTGAGGCCTTGAGATAATTGACCAATAGGATGTTTGCTTTCAAGTCACATGCATGCTTTCCAGCACTGATCCAACMTCCAATGGGTTTAATATAACCCCTGATAAAATAATCATGCTTCTTTTTCAGTTGATGTTCTACTTAATTTYGAACAACTGCAACAAATAAATATGGATTCATGGTCTCAAATGGGTAAAAACGTGGACCTAAAAGATGTAGGTGTCTATTAATCTTAGGAATCAATGATGTAACCATTTAAGCATTTATGTTTTGAAAGCATTAACTACATAGTTGAAGCAGATTTTTTGTGGCGTACACGCAAAAAAAAAAAAAACAAAACAAAAAAAAACTGTTCGACCACTTGCCCATTGCCGCATTACTCAATCGATAGATGTATGGTACATGATGGATGGGTGCAGTCTCAAAGTTAAAAGAATTTCAAAAGCAATATTTGGTACCACAATTTCCGATTAAAATACTGATTGTAATCTGTATACAAAAATAGGTTGCAGACCGCACTCACGTGCAAAAGACACCCTTAACTTTATAATCAGAAAAACGTATCCAATAGATGCACCCTCAGTAAGATTTCGCCTCAAGATTTTAGAGCATTGCGTGATGTAATCAGCATAACGAAAACTATAACATGACGGCATTAATAATAAAGTACATCACCCTTTTCCTGTTACTATTGTTTTTGTGACATCATTATTTTGTAATGTCGCTACATCGTAAGTGATGCGCCAAGTTTCACTTCAGGCACTGATGCATTGCAAAACAGTCTGGCAGTCTTTCGTGGCAAACGTTTTTCTTTTCTATATTCGTAAAATTCGTAAATTATAATTTGTTGCCAGCTTTTAAATAGAATACAGCACGTTCGAATTTCTAAAATACCTTGGTGCTGTTTGTTTATAGACGCACCCATTTTTGTCCGGGTTGATCGCAGTATAAGTAAATTTCAAACATTACAAATCTTTACTGTGAGTGTCAGTCGCATACATAAAGGGGCTATACATGGAAAGAAATGAAACGTTTTGTACGAAAACCTTCGTTATTCAGCAAGCCTACAACTGTAAAGATTTTTATACCAAATTTACACTTTTCAAAAAATCCTATSTTCGTGAGTTTTGAACTCATTTCCTTCAAACCCCGTTTTATTAATTTCAACATATTCTCCCCAGCTGTGGTAATCATTTTTCTGTACTGAAAAATACCTCATAAAAGCTCGTCTAACGTTTTATTTTTTCTATCTTTAATTACCTGAATGTGACCGTACTTTGGTGTTCTCGAAACATTTCCACTGATTTTCATAGTATCCAAAGGTACTTTTATAAAACTCCTTAAATTTGCTTTCTTCGTTACACGAGCATCCACATGTGTTATTTATCCTCGTACCACCCATAGCTGTACAGTTTGCTGAGACATCACCCGAACACATCGATGATGGTAACATAAAGGTGTCTGGCTGATCTAYCCATGAGCCTTGAATAAGATGGACTTGACGTTCAATGATGTATTCCTCGGCAAGTGTGCTTGTCAGTAACGCAATGAAAATCCACATAAAATGCCTCATAATTATAACTGAAATACCAAAGGACTTGACATACAATTAAGAAGATTCTGCGGTACCAATGTTTTCAATGACTTATATTTTGCAGTTGGAGGCACCCACGTCGTCAACTTGGTACCTTCATCGGCCACACACGACGAATAGGGATATCCGTATCCTGTTATTTGTTCTGGCATACGATCCGGCTTACTTACTTTGTTCATGGTGATATCACTTTTTTGTTTTCCGCCTCAGCATTGTAGGTATGCATTAAAACTAACCGCTAAATTACGTGTTTTTCGCTTTCTTTTGATCGTAACATGCATTCTTTTGGCCTTTCGTCTTACATTTACACATTTACACATTTACACATTTCGACTAAAGTGAGCCTGAACTTTAAATGTAAAATTCAACTCGTGAATCAAAAATCCAGAATGCTCTGAACATTTAGTGAGGATTTAAGATGGAGAATTGTACTTCAGCGTTTGTTTTATGCCAGAACGTTCGAGGAAACACGTGATATTTTTTTTCAGTCTTAAATGTCTAAATGTCTAAATGTCTAAATGTCTAAATGTCTAAATGTCTAAATGTCTAAATATCTTTTTTCGGTGGACAACGTTAATGACATTGACTGTATAGTTATTATGACAACCTTGATATTAAAATTGTACTTGCTATTCGAAATCACGCAATCAGTCATTCGTTTTCAATACTTGTCAGAATAGAGAAATTTATCCACAAGAGGGCAATGTACAAGTATATCAAAGTCCTAGTCCACTGCAAAACAAAGTTATGGTTGGGTTGAGTAAAGGGTGTGAGGGAGTGTAAATGATGGTCCAACATGAGGGGATCAGTTCAATTAACCGGAGGTCGTTTTTCATCCACCCCCTCCTCCATCAGCGCCTGTAGTCCATGATTAATTGTCATTCCTAACTTCCGCCTGCTGCGGAGACAAATATCGACATCCCTTGAAACAGATTAGTTTTAATGGATGAGTTTCCAGTAATTTGATCCTGCGTTTCGCGCAATGCATCTGTGGATTGCCAGGGGGCAAACAAACCAAGTCGTCACGAGAGATGTATGGGGACGATTCATATTTTCCACTAAAATCCGTGATTTGGTGGTGAATATTGCACTTTATCTCTCTAATTTTATCGGATATGAAGTAGAGGAATGTGCATTCCTCAAATACATCCTCCCCATACATCTCTCGTGACGACTGGGTTTGTTTGCCCCCTGGCAATCCATAGATGCATAGCACGAAACGCAGGATCAAATTACTGGAAACTCATCCAATATATTGACCTCTTTACTAATGTGTCCGCATTAATCATTATTAATGACGATTCCATTAAATGACTATTAGAATAATTCTCTGATGAACTCTCTGCGACTTATTTACTTTATTACTTTTCAAAAAATAATTGTACTGACGTGATTTACTTATCAAAACTTAACTTTAACATCCAGCTGATACACAGTAATCAATGTGACGAGAAATAAATGCGGGTCTGGTTCTCCTGAGGATGCGAAGAATTGCGCAATCTGAAAATCGACTAAATAAAGATTTTGTTTCATTGAATTATTACAATGTCTCTTTCCATGTACCTCGTCGTTTATATAACCTTTAACTCCTCTGCTTAATATTGTTACTATGCTTTTGAATGAGTGGCGTTTGATATGGCTTTTTCGAATTTCGGGTGTGCGAATTAGCGCAATCTGGACATTGCCTAAAAATTTGCTTCTTAMATTTATCAAAATTGATCTTTCCATGTGCATTGTCGTTTATTTAAAACACTCATTAATAATTCATAAGCTTATGGTCCAATTGGAGCCACCATACACGTCACGTGCATGAATCTTTATACCCGATAAAGTCCTCTTCATTAGTATTCAAGTGATTTTATATAAAGACACATGTGTCTTTATATAAAGACCACTCGAATACTATGAGGATGACTTCATCAGGGATGAAGTATGCATCCAAGTTTAGATGAAGACATAGAGCTTCATCGAGGTCATAGTCATCCCTAATGATCTTTGACTAACGTGCCTGTCTTTGCCTTGGCAYGCAATATCCAACGTGTGGGAGCTTCTATTGAATCTGGTTGCGCATGCCCGTGACGTCAAATCTCTATCGAAGTATAAAAATCCATGTTCGKGACGTGTATGGTGGCTCCAGTTGAACCAAAATCTTATAAATTGTTCATGAGTATTTTAAGCAGTTCAAAAAACTCGTAGATCGTGTTTTATCAGGTATAAAAGCACTCGGCTACGCCTCCTACTCGTTTTTTAAACAGTACATAATCTTTTTTTTTTAAACTCCTTTTCTGACTATGCTTCTGAATCAATCGCGTTTAATTTGGTCAGAGGCATTGCCTGGTTTGCATAGGTCAGGGCCTAGCAAACACTAGTTTCCCGTTGACCGTCTTGATTGAGCTGTTGATAAATGTCTCCYGTATCAGGAATTACTTCTTCAACAGAATCATAAACAGTATCTTTGTAGTCTCGATTTCCTTTGCCGTCCGTTTTTCCATCGATTATAGTTATCGACGCATTGTGTTGATTTGGAAGGGCCATTGATCCAGGTTCTTCAAGAACATCGTAAAATGGACCACCATCAGAATATGGTCCCTCTAGAAGATGATAAAATGGAGGCTCTTTTTCATTTGGTCCATCAGTTTCTGGGCCCTCAAGGACATTATAGAAGGGTTCAACTCGTTCATCTGATGGTGGTTCACTTGCTCTCTTTTCAACTTTTGCATACACGGGTTCCAAAATATTGTGGATGGCACCTACTTGAATTTGGGGCTTTTTAGGTTGTTCGTAAACGGGGTTTTCGGAAATATTAGATATATGAGGTTGAGAACTCGCGGATGATCCGTGCTTAGAATTTGTCACATCAGTTTTAGGTCCTGGTAAAAAGAAGAATCAATTTGTAGTTGTAAAAAAAAACATTAAATAATTTTGATAAAAAATTTCAAGGAAGTGCAATAAGGAATAGAAGAGATGTCTATATTTTTTCTTACTATATTCAGTGATCGTTCATTAGTGCAGATAAGGGAAGGGCTTCAAAACTTTATTTGTGGAAAAACGTCCGATAAATATGTTCAGTTAGAACAAAGGAAGAAAAAGGGTTGTGCTTTTGTGTGGGTTGGTGGGTGGGAGAGGGAAACGAATCACCAAGAAATCTCTAGCTTTTGCTGAATTTGATAAACAGAGAGCAACATCTTGTTTCACTTAAAGTGATTTATGATGAATAATGTATAAGTATCTTGGATTTAATCATAATATAAGATGCAAATGGGAATGAAATATTATATCCATTAAGTGTATCTGAACTTACCTGCAACTACACCTGACTTCTTTGC